AAGGAGCCGCAGGGTGGGGGGGAGGAAAGTCGAAGAAAACGTAGGTTGAATTTGTTTACAGTGGTGCCCCGCAAGACAAATGCCTCGCAAGACGGAAAACCCGCTAGACAAAAGGGTTTTCCGTTTTTGAGTTGCTTCGCAGGACGAATTTCCCTATGGGCTTGCTTCGCAAGACGAAAATGTCTTGCGAGTCTTGAGATTTTTTTCGCTTCCCCCCCCCCTTTTTCTAAGCCGCTAAGCCTCTAATAGCCTTTTAGCAGCTAAGCTGATAAGCCGATAAGCCTTTAATAGCCGCTAAACCGCTAATAGCGCTAATCCGCTAAGCCGCTAATAGGGTTGCTTCGCAAGACGAAAAAACCGCTAGACGAAGAGACTCGTGGAACGGATTAATTTCATCTTGCGAGGCACCACTGTAGATTTAATTTTTGTTGTTAAAATATTGTAAAACCCTCTATCTATCTATCTATCTATGTATCTAATCTGCTGTTATTTTCTGTGTCATTTTCAGCTATTTTTGTTGTATTCTGTACATCGCCTTGAGACATGTGTGGACGGCGCAATAGTCACCACCTTTGTGGGCTGATTTACAAGTTTGGTATAATAGCTGAGCCCTTAAACTAGGGCTGGGGAGCCTGTGGCCCTCCAGATGTTGGACTCCCAACAGTCCCAGCCAGCATGGTCAATGGTCAGGGATCATGGGAAGCAGGGATCATGGGAGTCCAGCAACATATGCAGGGTCACTAGTTCCCCACCCCTGACCCAATTCAAGCTCTGATCTGTAAAAATGTTCAAAGAGTGAATGAAAGGATGTTGCAGTTTTGAAAAGAGGAAGAATGCCACTGGTATTAATTCCAGGGGTTTTCCGTGTGTGTGGCTTTTTCAAAAAAACCAAAATGCCCTTTTTCAAAGCCATGAAAGTACTAGTGAAGCAGAATGCCTTCTAATATGTAAAGGATTTGCAGCCAAAAACAGACTAGAAATGATGGTTAAACGCCTAGAGCACTGTTAATTTTTAATTAATGTTAGTTATAATTATCTGACGGTGCTTGACTGAGATCCAGTAACAGGGTTGGAATGGATTTTGTTTTCCTTGTAATTTATTAGTTTTATAACTAATAATAATTAAAAATTAAATAAAATGCTCCAAGTAGATCCTGTAATAACCCCCCCTTTCTATTTTTAAATGAAGAAGTAACTGATTATGGTTATACCAATTGACTAATTCCGATTCTAAGGAGATGGTGATGTATTCTCTGATTGGGGGGAAAACACAAGTTTATGGGTTTTAGGGAATCTTTCCAACCGTTATGTGGAAACAGATTTTAAGGTGTGATGGGTAGGGAGGTAGAGAAGCCATACCTTCCTCGCAAAACCTATAAAAACTGCATACGGAATTAATGCCTTCTATCAAATGTAGAATGAGTTCATGGTTTGTTTCCAAAAAGTGTCTCTTGAGGTTTGATTTCCAAGCCAAGCACAAATTGTAAAATACAACACAAATTACACTAATGAACAAGCTGCTTATTCTCACAGTCATAATTTAGACTGCATGAGGGGCTGCTGGGGAGGGGGGGTATTAACTAAATAAAAAACCAACAACAACCACAAAAACAACAAGGTATTTGGTGCCCACTCCACAAACAACTCAGGTTTCTTTTACAAACACACCCCTACCCGAGCAAGAAGTATGGCGCCAGCATATGGCACCCTCAGGCAGTTGCTAGGGGCTCAGTGCTCTGGCAGGCCCCACTGCTGTTGCCTGCCCTAGACATCCTCTCCCACCAAATTATTTTTTACAGACGTCTGGAACTGGGAACTACCATTTTAATTACCTGCAATTAGGGTGGCCCCTTACCTATTACCCCTGGACAAAAGGGGACACTGCCTTTCAAAACATTTGTCTGTGCTACTCTAGAAGAGAATCTATATCTATATCTATCTATCTATCATCTATATCTATCTATATCTTACTATAATTTAAATAGAAATGCAATGCACCTCACCTTAACAGGGAGAACTGTGACCAGGTGGACCTGTGTGGCTGTTAACTCAGGTGCTAATGGCTGATGGGCAACTTCCAGGCCCTTGCAGGTAGCCTTCCTTATGGTTCTTTACCTTTAAACCACACTTGGACCAGAGGACCCTTCAGAGTGAGGACTCCTATTAGAGGACTGTAAAACAGGTCACATGGCCACCCTAATTGATATGCCCCTGACACAGTGTTTTGCTAGGGCCCATCAAAGGACATAAGTCTAAAGGGGTTGTCAACCTGGTCCCTACCGCCCACTAGTGGGTGTTTCAGGATTCTAGGTGGGCGGTAAGGAGTTCTACGGCACAAGCTGAATCCTCCTTCCACCAAGCACTGGTGGGTGGTAAGGAAATTTTACCGTCAAGAAAGATGCATTAGTGGGTGGTAGGTATAAAAAGGTTGAATACCCCTGGTCTAAAGGCTCCCTCATATTTGGAGCCAACCCTACTGGCCACTTTGGGAATCTGCAAGCAACTGGTGTAAAATAAAAGTGTACTAGCACACAGCTAGCTTAATAAAAGATTACTAGTACACTATTAGCTAGGTATAATTAGACGTACAATGGACCAACTGGAAGTTTCATATTAGTACTTTATGAGATCAGACAACGCTGTTTTGTTTTGAGGGAACTTGGAAAGGCAGCTGGACAAGGAAGAGTGTTGTGCCCTCTCCAGATCTCTAAGTGACCTTAACTCTCCCAACTACCACACATCTGGTCAAAAGTCTAAAAACATTACTGCCTTGTGCAAGCACACAGAACTTGCAAATACTTCTCAGCCTAGTCAAAGGACAAGACTCCACAGAGATCTGCACTGGGAAAAGCCACCTCGCATCCCAAAGGAAACTTTGAAATAACCCTCCAGTAGTTTTCTGACGGAAAAGTATAGCCTGTTCCCCAACCCAGATCTTTTGGACTACATTCCCCATCTACTCTGGCCATTGGCTGTGCTGGCTGGGGCTGATGGGAGCTGAAGTCCAACACCACATAGATGGGACCAGGAGGAGGAGATTAAGTCATTTGGCTGATCTATATAGATTAGGTGACCAATCATGCCTGTAGGGTTACTGTGTATATATTGTAAACCTGGAGATGTTAGGTTGATAGAAAAGAATGACATTTTTAAAGTCACCAGTCATATATATCATATGTAAATGCCCACTTGTAGCTGACCACTTTGTTTTGACCTCCTCTGTCTCTTCCCTTTCGCTCCCCTTCCCTTTGTATCTTGCCTTTTTAGTTTGTAAGCCTGATGATAGGCACCTCTCTTTTTTGATGTGAACCATTTGGGATAATATAATGGCCTGAAAAGTGGGATAAAAAACAGCTTGTAAAATAGTAAATAAATAAATGTTTCTATGGCATCCACCCTATTTCTGATCGTTGATGTCAGCTATCCGTCATGTTTTTCAGTGCTACCAAGATGCTTTGTTGTGTTTGCTGCAGGAGACTAACTCAGCTCACTTTCTGGATGTTACATGGAAGAAGGAGATGTGGAGTGCCTGGTTTTGGAGACAGCTGAGAATTCTCCATAATATACAGTTTTGGCCTCAAAAGGAGAGTAGGTTCCTCCAGAGGAGCTCCAGCAATTTTGTGGCTTGACTTGCCTCCAAATCTGAAAAAAAGATTCCTAACAAGCGATCAGACATCATCACACCTGTGCTAGGAAGGAACTGGCAGGTAGCCTGCTCCCTCCATACCTGCCTCATCGGTGGGCTGCTCTATCCTTGGCTTTAGCTTCCCTTGCTCGCAATCATTTAAGAGGAAACTGTATGATTAGCAGCACACAAGCAAACAGCAGGAACTAATCCTTTAAACACAAATACTTCAGTGGCTACGCAATGGTTCCCCACAAAACAGTGGGGAGGAAGATCAGAGACAAACCCCCTCCTCGAGTTTCCTGTAAATGCCCTGCTACTCATTCACAATTTGCTTAATGCAGTTCTTAAGGCAATTAAGGACGTTAGGTTCCACCATTCTGATTGAGCGCTACAAGCTTTGTCTATGATGATTTTCCCACTCCAGTTGTGTGTGTGTCTGTGTTTTTGTGTGTGTGTGTGTGTGTTTTTACTTGCAGGCTGTCAAGGCTTCGGGCACCTCAACACCATGGCTGAAACCTGACCTGATCAAGTGACGTTTTCGTGTGCTGATGCTGAAAGACAGAACTGAGATGTGGGCAGTTAATCTAGATTTTTTTTGCTGGCCATTCACTTGCCCTCATCCATCATGCAACTGCCGTTCCATAAAATGGTTATATGAACAGCATGTGAAGCCTCACAAAGGAGAGAGAAAACTAAGAACCCTAAAGCCAACAGAACAGAAATGGGGACGAAGGGTAGGTGATGAGGATCTATAGTGAAAAGACAGAGAATGCCTTTCAACCTAATGGTAAACTGAGTAATCTGAGCTAAACGTTTCACTTTTGTCAGTCACCAGTGTGACAAGGAAACAGAAATCTGAGCAGAGCTATATAGGTGGAATCTAAACCATCTCTCAAGGCCTCCCCATTGAGCTCCAAGGGGTAAAGAGACTGCAATCAATGACAGTTGGCAAGGGATACAACCTAAGACCCCCAGTTCCTGACAACTCTGCCATTTGCCCCCCAATAAAAGGGAACTCACAGGGGGACACAGCATACAGTGCAAATCCCAAGGATCCCTTCAGTTGATTTATCTCAGTAATTTTTGGCTCTACTTTTCTACGTAAAATAGTCAAAGCCGCATAATAAAACCTGTGCTTACAAAACAATAACTATGAAATAATCAGACATGAAGTAACCAGCATCAAAAAAGCAGCATAAAAAAGTGTGAATTCTGTATAGAATTTTCTGCTGGCCTCAAAGCAACTTCAACAAGCTAAATAAAAAAGGCAAGCGACAACAAAAGCTGGAGGGTCTTCCCCGGGGAGGGCATGAAATAGTCTAGGAAGTCTCATCTCTTATACCTACCTGCCCACTACCTCTCTGGGTATTAGGAAAGGGCTGTAGCTCAGAAGTAGAGCATCTGCTTTGCATGCAGAAGGTTTCAGGTTCAATCCTCAGCATCTTCAGGTAAGGCTGGGAGAGACTTCTGTCTGAAACCCTAAAGTGCTGACAGCCAGTATACACAATACTGAGCTAGATGGACTAATGGTCTGGCTCAATATAAGGCAGCTTCCTATGTTCCTAACAGGGTCGCCGATTGTGTTTCTTGTGCAGGTTTTTAATCAGAGAATAATGTTCTTAAGGTATTCAGACCAGGTTGGGCTTTAAGGGTTAAAAAAAAAACCAGCACTTTGAACTGATCCCAGAAACAAATCGGCAGTCAGAGGAGATGACATAATACTGAGCCCTCTCTCTGTTCCCCCGGTCAATCATAATGACAAACGTTTTGCTAATGAAACTATAATGTATACAGTGGTACCTCGGGTTAAGTACTTAATTCGTTCCAGAGGTCTGTTCTTAACCCGAAACTGTTCTTAACCTGAAGCACCACTTTAGCTAATGGGGCCTTCTGCTGCCGCTGGAGCACAATTTCTGTTCTCAACCTGAAGCAAAGTTCTTAACCCAAGGTACTATTTCTGGGTTAGCGGAGTCTGTAACCTGAAGCGTATGTAACCTGAAGCGTATGTAACCCGAGGTACCACTGTATTTATAAGTGGCATGTCAGGTTTATCACTGATACTGCATAACCATATTTTTTTGAAAAAAAACCCGTAGAAGGGTAAAGGGACCTTGGTCAAAAGAGTGGCATACAGTAAATAAACATTCTTTTCTTCTTAAGGATTGGCAATCAGCCCAAGACAACCATTTTTGCTTGGCTTATTGAGATTGCTGTTGGGCCGACATATATTCACAATGATTTTGTGTGCACAGTTCTCAAATGTAATTTGCTTACAGATCTCTCACCTACCAATACCCTTCCCCAATGAGACTTTTCTGGTGGATAGTATTTGCCTAGTATGACACTGGCAACACACTGCTCTGCCTTGGATGAATCCGATGCTGCTTTTGTCTATGTGCAAGTTCTCCGACTCTATAATAAACTAAGGGCACAAGCTTGTACTGGAGTTATGCCAGATGAGGGACTTTAGGCTCAGGGGGAAACCAGCACCACCAGCAGAAGACACCACAGAGATCTCTTGCTTGTTGCGCCACAGCCTGTTTGCAGCTTTGTCCTCCATCTAGGAGCAAGGGAGACATGTTTTTCCTATAGAGGGATTTGAACCAGCAACCTCCATCCCTTGATGCTGACAGAGGCTGCTGCCTAGTTCTCTGTGCATTGTATGCTGGGGGCATGGCCCCAGGCCTACGAGGGTTGGCTCCCTCTGTGTCTGCATGGCATGTGGGTGTTGCTGGCAGGACCGTCCCCAGTTGGTGAGAACTGATTGTTTCCAGGGATGCAAAGGACTGCAGTGTGTGTCCTTGTGGTAGAGGATTTTCAAGCAAATCCTACCAATGATCTGGTGGCTTGTAGGGGGATGCTTGAAAGCAGCAATGGATCAATTTGTAAGAGAGATAAGTAGAAATCATTCCCTTATTCAGAAGACATCCTTTTGTCTCTCTATTGTATGAATAAGGATAAATTCATTTGAAATTTTACTCAAGAGCTAAGTAGACATGTTCCCAGGGTCATTAAATACATTCCAGTGTGAGATGTTGAAGAATTAGTGGCAGCAAAGCATTACCAATTACGGGTAAATTTGCTTCCATGATGAGTGACAAGTCTTTTCCTAGCAGAATATTTTGGATCACATTTCTGATATTTCATAGCCCTCTTCAGTCATTCACATTAAGTCAACAAGAAAGAAAAGATATGGGAACAAGAAGCAGCTCTGTCCCCATTGCACACTGATTTTTTTAAAATAAAACTAGAGTTCTAAAATGTGTGGAGTGCCTCCCAAAGTACAGGAGCCTTCCAGCTTTCAACAGGCACCATTCACCATGATCAGAATATTGACAGGGGTGGATGCCTGCACCTACAACCCCCTCCTGCATGAACACCTAAAGGATACTAGATCTTAGCCTGAGTAAGAAGGGGGAGAAGCCTGGTGCTGGCAAGAAGCATGCTAGACAGAACAGCATCCACCACTTTAATTTCTCAGGAATCCCCTTGGGCCCTATGTGAGAACCCAGCGATATTCTGGGGGTAAATGAAGATGATTTCAGGCCCTAAAATGTAAATGAAGTATTAAAAAAATAATCAAAGGGATACCAGAGTCAGCCCAGTTGATCATTCTATATCCTGACATTTGCCCTAACATGCCAGGTATTGAGACTCTGCCAGCCTCCATACATTTGTCCAACTCCTTTCTGAAATCATCCTAGGCCCACTTGCTTGGCTGGAAGGAGTGGGCTGTACTGGCAAGCAAACCACTAAGCTTAAGGATTAAAATGGCCACTTTATAAAATGCAAGGCACTTTATAAAATATTGGTAACAAGATTAGTTAGTTTTTAAATGTCAACAGAGTGACACAAAGAAATTATGATGTGCTTATGAACTATCCTGCCATTTTGATTATTGCAGCAAGACACTAATAGTAGGAGAAGAAGAAGAAAGAAATATCTCTATCATTATTATTATTATTCATCATCATCACCATCATCATCAAGTTTGCTTTTTTACCAACTGTATTGTTGGCTTCCTTAAAGACAGGAGATGCAGAAGCAGGGAAACAAACAAACAAACAAACAAAAAACTGCTGACTTTACTGAAATATTAACAAGGTATAGTTAAAACTTTTGTACACTTATGCAAATGAGTTTGCTAGAACAAGGGGAAGGAAGAGGGTCCCCCCAGGGGAAAAATAAAATAAAATCAACAAAGTGAAAAGATCAACCATCCCTTCTGCAGCATGACAGCAAGACACAAGAGGCAGCAGCCTGGGAATTGCGGAAGATGAATTAAAAAAATAATAATACACACACACAACTCTCCAAAGTTTAAGTACATCATGGTTTATAAAGCTAATAGATTTAAATGAGGCATGGTGCACCATTCCATAAAATGATTATATATACCAGGGGGCTGCAGTAACATTTTGGGAGAAGTGTTAACCTCATAAAATACGTATGATGCGGAAGGCCGAGAATGAGAGTGTTTTTGGTGCGTCCCTTAAAAGTTAGAAGGCTGAGCTGAGAATTTCAGAAATGGCACAAGTTCAGGATTAGAAGTGCAATGGTAATCGTAGTGTCGACAATGTGGTGCTCCACACTGTAGCATGTTCCACACTGAAGGTCAAAATGTGAGCTTTTGAGTGTGTTCTGTCTACAACTGATAATATCAAGCCTACTTTCCCTAGAAATCTCCTTACATTAAAAGCCAAAACCGCATCTGTTCAGCCACCGATTACTGGAACAGGAGGGTGCCGGCATCCAAGAGGGAGTTCCCATAGTCCTTGTGCCTGAGGGCTGGCCTAAGGTATCTGGGAGCGTCAGGGGACTGTGGACTGCAGCCTGCAGCTGTCACCACCACCCCTGCCGAGAAATTGCAATGCAGGCTTTCACCTGCATATATGTGAATGGCAGATCGTGCAGAGATTATGGGGTGTGAACCAGGACGTTTGAGCCAGCTCCTGCTTTGTTACTGGCTAGAGACCACTGCACTTATTTGGGCAAAGTAATGCCCAGGTGGGGTAGTAGGAACCACTGCCACTCGCTGGGTACCTTGGGGAAGAAACAGAATTGGTGCTATAGAAGCAAGCTGGAAAAACTAGGTTGCAGAACTAAGCTTAATATTGTTTGGATGCCACTTAAGACACCTGGCACTGTCAGACAACAGGTGAGGTGGCAACTCTGTGTCTAGGCTATACCACTTCAGGCAGGAGAGTTGGGTGGGGCGTCACCTGGCTGAATGCTCCTTTGTACATACAAAAAAAATCCCTGAATCAAGAAACCTGGTGCATTATGCAAAAGCCTGAGCTGGAACCCCTTCTTCTTAACACCTCACTCTCTTTGTGCAGGTAAGAGCATTCAATCAGTTGACTGCCATCTCAAGTGGCAACAGAATTTACCCTCCTCATCTGAGGTGTGGCAGACTCCTTACTCAACCTGCTCAGCTAGCACTGAACAAGGCAGAACTGCAGATTTGGTTCCCTCAACCTCCAGATATGGCTGGACTCACCCCTAATTTGGCTGGCTGGGACTGATGGGAGTTGGGACTCCAGCAACATCTGAAGGGTCACAGGGATCCTCACCCTCAAACCTGCCACCTCCCAATTTCCCAGCCTTCTAGCTGCCTAAGAGCCAATGGCACATCTATGGTCCAGATTCCGTCATGCTTTTGCTACAGACCTCATCCTGTCCATGACTTGCATCTGCCAATCCTGAGCCCATACATCTCAATCACACCCAAGCTGTAATGAAAAACGAAGAAATGTGCTTGGTTGGTTGGTTTGCTTGCTTGCTTGCCCTGGGTTTTCGAAAGGGAGCCACAATTGTCTTAAGTGTGTGCTTATAAAACTGGGAAAGGGGTGGAGGAGAAGAAGAGATGGAGGATGTCAAAATGTTACTTGAGTTTTTGTATGCTAATCTTTCCTTAAATTATTAACCAATGGGAAGAAATTATTTACATTGTGCTCGGTGTGGACGTGGCAGTGCGTTGTAAGGCGTCCTGTCAAGCGAAATCCTCAGAGCGAATGATTAGAGTTGTCGGGTCTTATTTATTTATGCTGCCCGTACTCAGAGGACCTTTTTTTTTTCCTTTTTTTTTTTTTGAGATTGCACCCAGAGATAGAAAGAGAGGGAGAGGGAAGATTTTCTGATGTTGCAAGGAAATAAGCATGGGGTTTTTTGGGGGAGGAGAGACGGAAGATGCTCTTGATACTCACTCAAAATGAGGTTATTTCCCACATATAATAACAACTGGAACAAATGGCATAGATTTGCATGTAAACTTTTTTTAAAGGTACCTGAAGCTCGGTCTGAAAGAAGAACTTCTGTGGACACTGGGAACAATCGTAAATTTTATCCTCTTGCCCGTGGACAGCAAAGATATGTTGCTGCAATTTATTTGCCTGTACAAAAACTAGAGGAACAAAAAAGAAGAAAAGAAACAGCAGTGTTGTCAGA